AGGGTTGTCTTGGTTTAAGTGTTGGTGAATTGGGAATCAAGTGTCTCTTATGGGGCTCTATTTGGGTAACTAAATGTGTTTTCTGTTTTGTTTGTTTTACCCTGAAGGGAATTTGCTCATGGTGAGTTTCAGTGCAGCACCATGTCCTTCAGCCTGTCGCTAAAGGGTTGGAGCACACCAAATCTGAGGCTCTGATGCTGGGTAAATCCACATATGATTGAAAAGCCTTACACAGACAAAATGCCCGGACCTGTGACTTCTGCATCCAGGTCTGGCTCATGGCCGTGGCAGTCTCACACATACAAGGACTCCTCCTGAACTCAGGCAATTGTAAATGCATCCTGACACTGCTTATCCAGATCCCTTTTTTCTTTGGCCTTGTAACTGTACTCAAGCTGTCCTGCTGTGGCTGACAAGGATAAGGTGATAACTGTCCCTCCTAGCTGCAGGCCCACCGATAACTTTAAAGGATGCTTTTAACAGCACTGCATATTTCTTTCCCATGGGCACGCTGCTGTATCAGCAGAAGGTGCTTTGATGGTACAAGAGCTGAAGTGCAAAACCAAACAGGTTGAGATAGCAAAGTGAAATAACAGAGCACGAGTTGGGCTCTGCAGTGAGGAAGGCAGTTGTTTGCTGGGGGAAGCTGTGGGTGTACAACCACCAGAAAAAGCATCTTCCCATGGTGTGGTTTCAGGGAATTCTCCACGTGTGCTGGATGTAGTCACTTTCCCAGGAGGTCTGCAGAAAACCTTCAGTTTAAGCATTGTGCCAGCTGATGTGTATTTATAGAAGCTGGGAATAAATGAGCACACTCGCATGTACTGTTTTTCCAGATAAGACTTTCCTGCTTTGCTATACACACACGTTTATACAAGAGCAAGCAGTGCAGAACATGCATGTTGTTCATTTCTGTACAATATTTACCTAGGTTAAATCCAGCAAGCAGAGAGGAGTCAGCATAGGGCTTTCTTAGGTACCTGATAGTGAAATATTTGGGATAGTCTGCACACAGTGACCCTAAGGACACACTGCCTGACTCCCTCCTTGTCCCAGTGTTTGAGAGCCTGCTTTTGCATGGGAGAGGTGCAATGTAAGAGTTGAGGGCAGCCAGCAGTGTTGTTATTTTTAAAAGAAACAGCATTTTCTGCAGAAAAACAGGAATTGTGCGATCCTTTTCCTTGTGAAATGAGAGCAAAATCACTGTGTTTGATGATGAGCTTAAGACGAGTTGCCTGCTGTCTGTCTCCCTTTCTGCTGACCTGCAGGGTGCAGCAGCCTGCCCAGCACGAGGCTCTGCTTGGGGCTGCATTGGCTCTGCATGGCAGCTTTGCTTCTGTCGGTGCAAGCTCACTGCACGTGGCACCCCCGGCAAAAGCACCGTGAGGGGCAGGAGCAGCACTTACTGACACACATGAATGTTTGCAGAGCAAGCAAGAAGATTCCAGCGGCAGGGATCGGTATCTGGAGGCAATAATTTGGTTGCTGTTGTGAGAAGTAAATGTTCTGCACAGATCTTTCTCACTTGTGAGGCTCTGGTTTGCGTGCGTTGTTGAGTCTGTCATAAGGTTAACTTTCCAAACGTGACACCTCTGCAGTGCAACACCTTGCGGTATTTGGAGCTGAGCCAGAGACCCAGCGTACCACTTGCACCCAGATGGGGCTCACAGGTGAGCCTGAGGTCAGCACTCAAGGCCAACATCAGCATTAGATGGGGAGAAACAGGGTTGGGACTTGTAATCTTGCACAGAATAGCTGTGCCCCTTAATGCCGAGCAGCATAATCTGCTTACAGCAACAAGGGCTGTTGTGTTTGCTGCCCTTAAATCACACCCCAAGGACAGTTTGCAGCTGCAGGGAAGTCTTGGGGTCACTGTATGCTGGGGGGAGGGGGGGACAGCACTGTGCCAGCAGGATGGCTGCCTCTGTGCAGCTCCCCATGGCTCACCCTGTTTGCTCGGGCTTTGCAGTCTGCAGTGCCGATGGTTTGAGCATCTCTGTGGCGTGTTGTGGAAACACTCCTCTCCAGCACCCTGCTCCTCCCGAGTGTTTTTCTCTCCCAACAGAGCTCTGTGTAAGTGCTCTTTCACAGCAGTGTTGTTTGTTGCTGTTCCCTGTTCTGAGACAGTGTTTCCAAGATGGTCATTTCCTGCCTGTTTTACAGCAAATTCTTCTGCTGAGAGACACGGAGCGGCACTGGGGGTTGAGTAGGGACAGCAGTCTTCAAGGAGATTGCCAGAGTTGTAGTGCAGTGCCACCGGGGTGAAAGGTCCCTCGCTCCTTTACCTGCAGTTGGTCGGAGGGGAGGTGTGAGCGGTGCGTGCAGAGCGGTGAGGCCCAATGTGCCCCTGCAGCATCATGGGGACAGCTTCATAAAGCCCTGGGGGTGTTTGTGGAAGGACCCAGAGGCAGAACCCACACAGCAGGGCTGTGATGGGCACCGAGGAGGAACAGCTTTGTTCGCTGAGGAGCGGAGACTTCTCATCCTTCTCGCTTGCACGAGCAGCCAGTGCACAACCTCTGTGTGACTTGTGCTGCATTCTTGCCTTTGCATTTCATAGATTGGAGCCTGAGTAATTCACACTACAAAGCTGAAAGGATTTATGCTGTCACACGAACGCTGGGCACCTTTTATCTGATGCAGAGCCTGTTGTGTTACCAGGAAGCCCTACTAGGGGAAGAGACCAGTGGTGGCTGTCATACAAAGCCCTTCTTCCTTATGCCATGACAACCACCGTGAAAACTCAAACCAGCACATCGTGGTGCATAGATGTACATATGAAGAGATGAGTTTGGGCAGAAATTGCTTTTCGGGGCTTCAGCTTCCCAACAGAGCAGAGCAATCTGGTGAGCTTGCAGCAAACAAATCGCATGAGGAAGGTGGAGGGACAGGAAAACTGTGCTGGCAGGCAGCGGTGGAACCCTTGGCTAATGCTGCATGTTCAGCATCTGAGAGGGCTGCTGCATCCTGTCTCCCCACTCCAGCTAGATAAGGCACTAATTTCTCATTAATTTGAGTTTTGCTTTGGAACTCGCACTTCTGGTGCGTGCTGCTTGCTGACAGCAGCCTTTTGTTAGGCAGCAGAAAGAACACCTCATGTTAGCCAGAAAAACTGTGAATCCACTTTTCATTTACCACCATCATTCCTTCCAGCCTGGCTTTACCAGCCTCTGAGAAGTGATTTTTTTCTCTCTGAATGCCTAATTGGTTATTTATACACAAAACAGAGCGTTTGCTCGGTATTCCTGATCTAGAAAAAAATTAGTCAAGAACTGTCCTACCAGATGTGAGTGTCAGTCAACATCTGATCTCCATATAATTTATAAGGCATTAAATTACAAAATAATGAATCTTTTCAGTTAGCATTTTGGCACACGATGATAGTGTTACGTTTTATGTGAGAATATTGACCGCAGCTCTCGCCCCATAAAACTGCAAACAGGGATTTGTAAGCATTGGCACTGGTTTCCCTTAGAAAAAGACACCCATTATGCTCGGGTTACAGTTAAGCTATGTATGCGCAGCCTGGAGGTTGTCCAGTCACACACAGTTCTTCCCCCCTCTCTTTTAATGTTTCCTTAAGAAGGCGAGACAGTGGTTTCTGGGCTGGATGTTTTTTCCCCTGGATTTTGCTGGAGGAAGGCAGCGGAGCAGAAGCTGCTCCAGGATTCCCACAAGTGATGTTTGCTGTCAGTCCTGTTCTGCCCCTGTTTGGCCTGGAGTGATGGGTGAGAGCAGGTCCTGCCCGCAAAGCCCCCAGCCCCTGAGCAGTGTGAGAATCCCAGCTTTCTGCATCTTCCTTGCAAGCTGTGAAGGTTTGCAAGCTGATGAATGAAGGGTGCCCACTGAGATCAAGTTAGCATGGAACCCAGCTTCAGTCTGTGTAAGAAAGAAGAAAAGGTGGTTTCTTTTGCACTGGAGACAAGCACTTGTTTACGTGCCATGTATTTTACCCATCAACAGAGTGAAATGCACTTTCAGTACCGCACCTTCAGCTTTTTAGTGGTTCTTTCTGCTTGTACTCTTTCTCTTCTGTCCCTATGAATTGAGCACTCCTCTCAACTCTACTGAGAGCTCTACTGAGCTCCACTTCCAACTGGTGGTTAATGGCAGGGCAGTGTGCTGGGATGTGTCCCAGCTGTCACCCATCTCAGCCCCTTCCTTCCCCCGGCAGCGCTGTGAGCTGGGCATGGACAACTGTTTCTCCATTGCAGCCTCTTGTCTCACTTGGCATTTCGGACACAAATTATGGTAGCATCTTCTCTGAAATAGCTACATGTCATGGAAAGTGCTGAAACGGGTTCCTCAGCCAAAGGAAATGCAATTCTTAAAGCGTTTTAAATGAACGGTATGGACTGCATGGGATGGGATGGAGAGAAAGGAGCGTGGCAGCTCTCTTGGCACAAGATGTGCCGAATTACAGGGGCGTGTTTGTGGGGTTAGAAAGGAACACTGATCTGCAGGAGGAGGAAGGTGAGAACAAAGCTAATGTTCAAGTCAGACATTGGGGTCTTGCCCTCCTGTAAGGAGCAGTAGGTAAGTGACAGCCCTGCGAGTGCTGGAGCAGTGAGCTCTAGGGCCCACCTTGGCCTTGGTGGACAATGGGATATTTTTCATTTGAAGTCAATGCACTGCTAAATTAACATTCCTGTCAAAGCAAAACATTTTTCTTCTAGTGTGCCAGAAAATGGATTGCTTGTAAGCTGTCGTAATGCTGCTGTAGCTCAGTATCTCCTCAGCTTTGATCAGAGTGAAGATAAATGGCTACATAGAAAACACCCATTCATTTATTATTTTGCCTTTTTTTTTTTTTCTTTTCTGTTGTATCCTGACAAGTAGCTTGATGCTATACTGTGGAAAATGTAGGTTTTACAGATGTAAGAGGTAATAACTTCATTCTTAATGTTTAGGTGGTATGAATTGGCCTATTTAGGTCAGGATAGCTTAAACAGCAGCTGGAGAAATGAATCATCTCGTAAAACAACAACGTGTACAGGTAGTTAATTTTCCACATATATTTATATAATCTATTTCTATAAAAGGAAATGCAGGATATGTAATAAATTAATTGCAAAACAAGGAAACATTGTGGTAATGAGGAGAAGAGTGTGGCCAACTCGTTGAACTTCTTCTGGAGTTACTTTGAGATCTTTTAGTTTAATTAGTTGAGTGTACAGCAAAAATCCAGCAGGCAATTACCGACAAGATCTTCTGTTAATTGGATGTCCTCTGTTAATTGGATGCTCTGACACCAATTGTCTGTATCCAAATGCTCTTTCACAAGGGCGGCACTCCAGGGTTCTTCAGCCTCACAGTGTGGAGGAGCCTCTCACATTGGAGAGGCTTGGGCTGGTGAGAGCTGTGGGGTTCCAGGCCCTTTCCTTCAGCTGACTTACCAGAAACAGTCTCACAATCTCCTGGGACACAAAAGCCCAGGTAACAGAGCAGTAATGTGCTCCTAAGTGACATCTCTAGGGAGAGTTACAAATAAATTAAGAGACAGTTTAGTCTTACAGAATGAAACTTACTTTGAAACCGCATCATTAATTACCTTTTAGCTTTTTTTTATATCACCAAGCAACTGATCTACCTACTTTCAAAAGAATTACGTACGCTCCAAACCTTTCCACACAGTAAACTTAACGTGGCTGTATCTAGTAAAGCTGGGATGCATATACTCTTGCAGTGAAATAAGGAAAAGCCCAAAGCCTTTATTATACCTTTTTAAGCAAACATACATATTGTGTGAAGTTACTGAGTTAACATACGATGATGCGTTTCCAGAAGGCGTGAAATACTGGCAGATATCTCTAAGAAAAATTAAACTTGGTATTTCCCAACTGGTCCCATGTCAACCACTGGGGAGAAGAAATGCCAAATGTTGGCATGTTCTGCATGTTCTGATTAAGGAATCTGTTCTGTTCCCTCCTTTGCTGGTACATACGTTGTCACTCAGCCATTCTAACGAGTGCCATCAGGACTTTTATATTTTGTGTTCAGCTATCACATTCGGTGGGACCATCCCACCACAGGACCTTACCTACCTGTGCAGTTATTCCCCAGTGACTTTTATTCACTAGCAGTGTGCGAGAACCCATGTGCTCTCAAAGAACTGTTTCACACCTGGCGTTAATCAAATGGTAATGGGGGATAAGGCGTGTGACAACGTGGCACTAGAAGTGAGATTCAGAGGTTGGATCTCCCCCGTTTGTAATGGCCTGGTCACTTATTTCATCCTGCTGTGCTGGTAGAGCAGTCTTTGTTAGAGGGGTCTCAGTCTTGAAAAGAGAGTCCATTTTTATCTGGGTCTTTATGTTGAAAGACTTCTGGAAGGATTCTGATGTGAAGTAATAGATGAACGGGTCAAAGCAGCAGTTCATGGTTGCAATGCACAATGTGATTGGGTACATGGTCCGTGCAAACCTCTCCAAGGAGCAGTTTGCTATCGCCTGGGACCGCACGAGAGCGTACAGGAAGAGTATGGAGTTATAAGGCACGAAGCACACGACAAAAATGGCCACGTGCACAATGATCATCTTCAATACTTTCTCTTTGTTTGTCCCGATCTGAGACAAGGTGGCAGGTTTCCGGAGAGTCCTGAGAACTAAGGAAGAGCACGTGAGGTTGAGTAGCAAAGGAATGATGAACCCCACCACCTCAATAAATATAGTGATCTTAGACAAATAGGTTTTCCAGATACGTTTGGAAAAGCCTTCGAAACAGGTGGTGCTGGTGTTGGAAACATTGGTTGTGGAGAACAACGAGGCTGAGATTCCACCGCTGAGGACCAGTATCCAAACACCAGCACAGACTATGGCTGAATTTCTTCTGGTCCTAATGGTACGGGATCGGAACGGATAGACGATTGCAAGGAAACGGTCAACGCTGATGCAGGTGAGGAACAGCATGCTCCCATAGATGTTGGTGAGAAACGCCGTCCCAGATATCTTGCACAGGCTATCTCCAAAAGGCCAATGCCTGTTGAAGTTATAAAAGATTTTAAAAGGCAAAGTGAACACAAACAGCAGATCTGAAACCGCCAGGTTTGTCATGAAGATGGCCGTTTCGCTCCGCATCTTCATCCGGCAGCAGAAAACAAAGAGGGAAGCGCAGTTAGTGATCAGACCGAGGATGAAGACCACGCTGTACACGGCTCCATACAAGTTGTACTTAAAGGAATCATCTGTCAAACAGGTATGGTTGTTGCTGTGGTTTCCCATGCCAAGTCTGTGGTGTGCTTCCAAAGAGTGTCAAAGTCTACTTCAGTGCCATCCATAAAATAAGGCAGTCACCTCTTTTCTTCCTGATGAAACGCATTCCAGGAAGGCTGCTTGAATCCTTGCTACCATGTCCTCATTGTGCATCCTTTCATCCTAAAAGGGGAGAGAAATAAAAGCCATCAGTTTTGCCATCTGTTGTCACCCTGCATGTCTGTGCTAGAGAGTATTTGCGCTTTCCTTTCCAATCGTTCATACAGGACCAGTGATCAGTTTACAGCCAATCTTTATAAATTGTTATGAATTCCACTATTACTGGAACTTATCAAAGCTGGACACAGCAGTTTCTGCACTTGGTTTTGCTTTGCTCCCCTGCCTTCCTCTTGGAAGGAGAGCGACAGCCAATTCCAATGTTCCACCTGGAAAGGCTTTTCCTTAAAATCTGAGATGGATTTGACCCACTGTGTTTGGAGAGACATCATGGGCTGCAATATTCAGGCTGCTGTTTGATTCTACACCCAGGCCACTGCTCACCTAAGCATGTGACAAGAGCAGAAAGGAGCTGAAAATGTCAGTGCTTACTCCGAACTGTGCAGGAATGAAGCTTCTATGGTTTTGCAACTTCTTTAAATGAACAAACATTAAGAACCTGGACTGACAAAGTGCTCTTTTGCCTTTTTTCTACCTGAAAGCAGGAGCGTTTTGTGCAGGTATTTCGAAGCGCAGAACTGAAATGTTGTAATTCAGAAACATTTTGCACAGAGCACTTTCCAAGGCGAGGCGATGCTTGCTCCTTGGGAAAATGTTGGGGTTTCCATTCTGCAATTTTTCTGCAAAAGTGACATTATTTACTAAAAGGATTTTGTTTTAAAGCACAAAATGCTTTGCAAAAAGGACTCCTCTCTAAGCTGCATTGACAACTTCATTTTGTTTCTCTTCCTTGTCACCTTTCTGAACTTGAAATCTGGGAAATCCCATGAGCTGCACTCCTGTAGGACTCTATCCCAATTCAATCAGCTCTGGGGAAGTGTGCAGTTGAAATCAGCATGTTATTTGTTGGAAGTAAGAGCTTTCTGAACCATCTTGGTGTTATCCGCCTGGGACAATGCCAAGTGTTGGAGGCCTGTGAGCAGAAGCAATGGGGAAATCTCATTAACCAGCATGAGAAGGGCTTGTGGGCTGGGATGGGGGCATGCCTTGGTGGTGTGAAGCTGGGTAACCAGGGTGGGGACCTTTGACTTGTTAAACACAGCAAACTGAATCCAAAACAGTTTGTCACCCTTTTGTAATTTGTAATCTAGGAAACCTCTTAGTAACTGCAGCTATTGAGTAACTTGGAGATGAAACCATTGTGAACTGTAGGACCTGTTCCAGAAAGTGATTGATAACGTGTTATAACAGCAAACACATAACTGAGCAGGCTGGTGTTAAAGGTTGGAATGGCAACGGTGTAAACAAACAAACGGAGGGAGAAAGCATGGAATTGAGACCATTGAAGATGCAAACAGATCAAAATCAAATGTTTTCCATATGTTTCTCCTACCAAACTCACGCTAACAATAGTTCCTGCGTGCTGTCAGTGAGCCAGCTGCTGAACTGCCAGCTGTGGAGGGATGCAGCACGGACTGGCTGTGCTCACAGCCTGGCAGCACTGGGCTCGCTGTGTGCTATGAGCAGCATCCTGCCCAGAGACAAGTGGGGTGTGAAGCCAGGAAGGGAGGATCCCTTGATTTCACTCATCAGATGGCTTGGAGCGGCTTCAAGCTTTTTGGTGTCCCATAAAATGACTTAGGACTATTGCATGGGAGGTTTCTTGCCTGCTGCTCTGTGCTGTGCTGCTGTCCTGCTGCGTTTGCTGTGCATACCTCAAGCTCCCTGAACTGTTGTTTCCATAGATGGCATTGGTACACACCTCAAATTCAGCAAACCTTCCCTCCTTTCTTGTGCATTTTGTGTTATGCATTTGCAATGATAACAATATCCTGCCTTAGCAGATACTCGAATCAGGGGTAGATGTGCCTTTATCTGATCGCAGCTGATTGTGTGACAATGAGAAATGAGATGAAATGAGATAAAAGCCCACAGTGAGGCTTTCCTTCATGCATGCGTGGACTGACAGCAGGAGTGGGCTGTGCAGGGGAGCAGCGTGATCTGAGGCCCTATGGGCTTCTGCACTCATCTCAGCCTTTTTCCTCCTAACTTATGGCTAAATGAACATCATTGTGAAATGACTTAAGAAAACAAACACTTAAAATTGCTATGAGAAGGGCAGTAACATTTCAACAGTGCACTTTTTTTATTTTATTTTTTTTTAAATGCATGGTAATCTAAACAAGCAGAGTCTCACCTAGCAGTTGAAATGCTCCTTGGCAAGAACTTAGCTGTATTCAAGAGCAAACAGCTCCAACAGGAATACTTGTGCCTCTTAGTTCCAACCTCAGCTTAACACATTAAATAACTCGTCCAGTAATGAAAGAGGCAGTGTGTTATCTCCATCAAGAGCAAGTTTGCTGAAGTGTAACCTCTATGGCACCTCTTCTCCTGCTGTGTGCAGAACCCAGGTGTGCTGGGCTCCAGGTCTGAGAGAGGTTTGAGGCTCGCTGGGTGCCTGCACAGGGCTGTGCTGGGGTTGGGTGGAAGCTCTGCTTTGCATTCTGTGCACACACTGCGGGATTTTGGCTGCTCCTCAAAGCACAGCTGGGTGCAGCAGGTTTAAAAGACAGCTTTGAAATCCTTACCTTCACTGCTGGCGTATGTGGTCCCTGCCAGCAGCCTGACCCAGATGCTTAGAGCACAGGAGAAAAGGAGCTCCATCAGCTGGTTATTTTTCCTTGCTCTGCATCAGACGACCACAGGGACAAATACAGCTTCTCTGCTGTATAAGAACTGCCTGCCAGCAATTGTCCAGCCAGGTTATGGTCTTGGAAATATAAGCGTGTGTTGTTTACCTACCTATCCCTGCAGGGTTTAAACAAGCTGACAAGCTGCTTTCAGACTGAGCCATGTGCTTTAAATTCTGCATTTTTTGCTCCACAGGTTTGGTTTTCTGGATGTAAGACGCTCTGCTTCCTTTTCACCAAGGATTAAAGCAACAGGATGCTCTTCATGTGCATCACATTCACTACTGCTGCTTTGCTGGGAGAACTGGTGGTGTTAAAGGCTGAGTTGAGTATGAAGGCTCTTCCAATGCGTCGTTCAGTCAGCTCAAAGCTTTAATTGCTGTGCCTAAAATGGGCTCTGTGGGTGAGGGAAGGGCTGTGTCAAGCTGTCAGGAGTGGCACCATCACGGAATGCACAGCCTGGCTCATGTGGGGATGTTATCAATATTTCCTCTTGTAGAGGGGATGATACAGCAAACCCAGAGCAGCTGTCCGTCGCATAACCCCCTTATTCTCATACAAAGTGGGGTTCAGGGTTTGCTCACATCTGCCTTCTGCTGCAGAATCCCTGCCTTTTGCATACTAAAAACAAAGGAGACCTATGCCTTCCTTCCCTTGGCACACAGCTATCCTATCCTGTTTGGGGTTCTTTTGTTTCTGCCTCCTTGCACACCAAGAAGTCTTCAAAGCATCAGCAGGATTCTGAGCAACCACTGCTTTCGTTCTTTTAGGTTTGTTTGTTGTTTTGTACAGCAAATACCTTCAGGTAAACTTTGTAAAACCCTACTTATAGTTCCATTAAGGCCATTCCTTCTCCTTTCATACTCGTCTCATTCTGCGTGCTTCTGTCAAACGGAGGTCAGCAAAACGGCAGTGTGAAATTTGGGACTGACTTTTTGGATCTCCATGTTTTCTCCTCTGTGGTTTTAATAGGAGATACCAGAGGCAACACTGATCTGTGGAAGATGTTGGGCACCCCGTGTGCTCTTGTATCCATAGCTGAGCACTGCAGAGCCGTTTTGTCACCGTAAGAGGAAACGTTTCAAACCTGAAGGACCTTTTTGTTTTGTCTAGAAATCCCTCTAGATCGTGGCAGCACTTGTTGTGTTTTGACACCAGCTCAGCCTCTCACCTTGGAAATAAGTGTTCCACACATGCTTTATGCCTTCCCTTGAAAAGAACCACATTCATCAGAGAATTTATATCCCCTTTATCTGGGTGGTACAGTCACTGTATGGGATGGTTTGGTTAAGTCTGTGTAATTACTGAGGTTGGTGTCCTCCAACACCATCCAGTCCTAATGTCCACCCAGCCATAAGGCCATAGGACTTATTCCAGTCCATTTATAGGTACTGTATGGGGGTGAGATACACCACAACTGTGTTAAGTGTGAAATATATGGATAGAAACAGCCGTTTTCTAGCTGCAGAGGCCATCACTTGTGATAATTCTATAGCAACACTACTGGGCAATCATGCCACCAAAATGGTTAACTCTGAAGGCATACAAATATTAATTTGAAAACTACAACAAGTGAATTCAAAGCAAGTGAAGCAGCAGTGAAACGCAGCAGTGCTGTCTCGCGCTGAGCTCAAACTGCTCTGCTGCCTGCAATATCTGCAACCACAGCAGGATCCTGGCTTCTCAGTCCTGCCTCCTTTCAGCAGAAGCTTTGCTGGTTAGCTGTGCACGTGAGGAGAACTCTGTGAGCGTTAACTGGAAGGAGTTTCTGGGGAATCTATTTGCTGCCTTTGTGAGGCTCCATCCCCCTGTTCCCCTCGGTGTGGGCTCATGGCATGCTGTGATGTGACAGGTGCCATTGGCAGACCCCACTGCAGCACCATCTGCTCGGTGATGGGGCACCACGTTCAGGTCTGGTTTCTGAGCTGAGCAGCCTGCAGGGCTGCTTTGAACTCTCCATCCTCCCCAGCACCTCTGGTAGTCTGATGTACCCCGTGCTAAGGTGGGAGCAGGAGGAAGGTTGGGTTTGGCAATGGGAGGCAGCAGCTGTCTGTAAGCACCGCGCTGCTGCCTGCGTGAAGTGAGGAAGGCAGAAATGCTTTCGTTTCTTTTGTTGTGTCTGGCAACGGTAGGAAAGAATTAGATTGAAGTGTGAACTACAGGTCGGTAGGCTTCTGTAGCTTCCAAGGGCCATTCTTCCCTGGGTTAATCTGTCAGAGCAAATGCCTCAGTTGTGCTGGGTGAAAAGAGGATGATGTTTGATGATTAGCACAGAAGGTGGGCAGCAAGGCTCTTATTCATGGCTCTGACACTCACAGTGCCAGGGTCTTCAATGGCAGCATTACCCCCATTTCCCAGCACTCGCTGTTGGCTCAGTGACACCTCTCACACTGGGATCCTTTCAGTCCACTGGCTTTCTCCATCTGCTTTCCCACTCCTCTTCAGCAGAAGACAGGCAGAGCTCTGCAGTGCCAGCATGGTGTTTCCCACTTCTGTGGCTCCCTCCTCCCACCAGCGGGCAGCCCCAGCCCTCCCCATTCCCCAGGAGGACCCCAGTTTTACTCCTCCCAGAGATGGAGCTGGGAGGTGGAAACTGGAGCCTATTGGACCTCATCCTCACGGCACTCTCCTTTTTCCCTCTTTTTTCTCTTCTTTTAATTGCTCAGCACCGCCGTTGTCTCCTCACTGTCCTTTGAGACCTACAAAGCATTTCCTGCTCGTGGTCACTTCTCTGTGCTGTATCTGTTTTGTGTTGAGCTAATTAAAATGTTTCCTTCTGCAGAGCACGGTGAACTGCCTTACCCCGTATCCAGACGCTGATCCTCGGGGCATGACTCTCTTTTTGTTTTCACTGAGAATGTCTGTCTTCATTTACATCACCCGTTTAACCCTTGCAGTGCCGTGGCCTTCCGAGGGCCTGGCCCACAGCCCAGAAATGCTGGGATTCACCCCACGCTTCCCAGCAAAGTCTGCGTTATTTTACTCTTGTAAGAGGAACAGTTTTGCTCGCAAGGAAACCTTAGGCTGATGATGGAGGTCTGTAGGAATGCTGCTCTTTGGACTCTTGATCTCCCCTTAGCAAGAGGCTCATGCTTTAATAGAATTGCTAGGTGCAGTGGAGAGCGTGGTAAAGAGGCTTAGATATGAGGAAAACCTTGATGAGAAGCTGTGTTGCCCTCTGGGTCAACGCTTGGAGATTCGCAGGTTGTTTTCACTCAGAAGCAGAAGGTGGTGCTGGAGGTGGCTGTGCCTTTGATGCAGCCCTGTTTATTTACAAAGTGTGGTTAAGGGAAAAAAAAGAAGAGTCCTGTTTCCCTGAATCCAACAACGGGACTCGGTTTAGTTGCTTACGCTTCCAGAATGCCTTCCAGTCAGCACCCAGCCCCACAGCTTCCTTTCTTTGCCTTTGGACACCACTTGCAGTGCTCCCAGCTGCCCTCCCTGGCCCTGCAGCATGAAGCCCTCCTTTCACCCCGTGCCATGCCCACTGTCTTGCTCTGCACTGCTTCCTCCGCACTCCCTTTGCTCAAAGCACTGTTGAACGTTCACCTCTGTTTATCCAAAAAACATGGGCTCTTTTTTTTTCCTCTGCATGCATTAGCATCAACGTGGCTCATCCAGCTGCCAGCACTGCAGCACAGATGCCTGTTTCAGCTTTTGCAAGCTCAACCTGAGTGCAAGAGCAGCTGATTTCCTTGTAGGTCTGCATCCGTGGGAATTAGCAGGGCAGGAGGCAACCTGTGCATGGCTCTAGTGTGAGGATTTGTGCCCCGCATTCATGTACTGGATGGGGTACATCAAACAGGGCTTTGTTCTCTCTAATTGCATTATTTGGGGTGTGAAGGATGGTTTGAGGCTCCATTCTGACGGCGGGTGCGGGCGGCTGCAGCCTCATCTGCTCCATCCATCCGACTGCCCTTCTCAGCAGCTCACACTGAGCCACCCCTTGGTGTGCAGAGTGAGGCAGCACCGCGTGCAGCTGTGCCACAGTGCAGAGCAATGGAGCAACATGCTGCACCTGTGTGTGGAAATAAACATGATACCAGCTAAAAAGAAGAGCTTCATATTTGGCTAGTAGGTGCATAAGGTGATGTGGAAGCGTGTGATGCACAGAGAGAGAGCAATCTGCTGCGCTGCTATGTTGCTCAAGGCTTAGGGACCAGTCAGTGCCTCTCAATTTCACTTGCTAAGATCAAGAGACCACGTTTTCTACAAAACCAAGCCAAACTGTTACAGATGATTCCGAAACTTTCCTTGCAGTGAGGGTCAACTCAGGCTAATTTGGCTCTGAGGCTGCGTGCATCTTTACCACCTCTTGTGGGACCGAGCTCAGAAGATGGCGCATTAGAGGAAACCTTGCAGAGCCACTGTCTGTTCTTGGGAATACAGAGATCCTCTTTTCAAGGAGAGAATTTGCCTTTTGTACAACGGGCTCCCCTTCCCTGAGACTAAATCAGGTCCTTATTTATGGAGGAGGTGCAATGTGGGAAGGAGCAGAGTCTGTGCATGCATTTGACCTGGAAAGACCTCCTGAGGGCTGGATGTGAGCTCCAGAGCTGTCCTCAACCCCCAGCCCCGTGGATGGGGTGGCTCACTGGTGTCTTGCTCGTGACCCTGGGCCATGAGACTGAGACCAGTTATCCACATACGACTGGCCAGCAGCACTCAGACAGCAGTGAATGGAGGTCCAATGATACAGCTTGGGCCAAAGCTAGCTGCAGCCTGTACAGATCCATTAGAAATATCAGCATACAGTGAACATGATCACTGAGAACCTAGTCCATTGACTCAGGAAATCTTACACCTTTCCTACCCAAAGCCATGGGGTTGGACTCCATGGTCTTTATGGTTCCCTTCCAACTTGATATGGTCTATGATTGTACCCTCCTTTGCTGCTCCCTTTCCCTGGGAGCTGGATGAAGCTTTGGCTGAAACTGCCTTAATTCCTGCTCTCATGTGAGGCTACAGGCAGAAGGAGGGGAACCATCTTACAGCAGGGAGTGCACCCTCCCCTGCTGCAGGCTGCAGGGCCTCGCTGCAGTTAATGGAAGGCACAGTTCTTTCCATTTGCTGTCTCACTGCAACACTCTGCAATGCAAGTGAGTGGATAACAGCATTCAGGCATTGGTTCTGTTTGTCTGTGTCCAAGTACAGCTCATAGAATCATACAATTATTAAGGTTGGATAAAACCTCTAAGACCATCTATTCCAACTGCCTCCTTACCACCAATACTGCCCACTAAACTACGTCCCTAAGTACTACACCTTCCCTTTCTTTAAATGCTTCCAGGGCCAGTAACTCCACCATTCCCTGGGCAGCCTGTGCCAGTGCAACACCACTCTTTCTGAGAAGCAGTTCTTCCTCACACCCAACCTGTCCCTCCACATTGCAACTTGAGGCCATTCCCTTTCGTCCTCTAGCTGTTACCTGGGAGCAGAGGCTGATCCCACTTCGACACAACGTCCTTTCAGGAGCTGGAGAGAGCAGATCCACAACTTAAAGAAAGCTTCAAGCTATAGAGAGCAACTTCCTCTCTCCAGAATCTAATGGCTGATTTCTATCAGCTGCCCTAAACCCAGCCAGGCAGGAGTCTCATTTTCAGTCTCAAAGGATTAAAATGAAATGCAGCTCAGCTTCCCCCACCCTTCCTCCCTCCCATGTTTTCAGGAGTGTCTTTCGAATTGAATAGGCTTTGAACCCCCTGAAATAGCAAGGTTAGCTTCCTGCCAGTTTTATTTTGGCTTTCAGTAAGGGAAAGAAGATGAAAAAGTGCTATGGGGGGGGAATATCCTTATCACCAACATGTGAACTTTGCACTTCCCATCGCGTGGGTTTTACCATCCTGCTCGGACAGGAGAGCAGTGCTGCAGCACACAATTGTCCCCTCTTAAAGACAGATTAAGGGCTCTCATTTAAAACAAACAACAAAACAATCCTTGCAAACCCTTCTTCATACTGTAAGTCCTATTGCTTCCCAACGGCTGTATCTTTAGATTGTTGTAAGCATGCTACTGAGCATTCATTTCACTCCTGGCAGAGGTATTTTTATCTGCTCAGAGCTGTGCTCGATTTCTTTTTCCTGTGGAATTTTGCCACCGAGTTTAAAAGGAGTCAATTTGAGCCATAAATGGAAGCCAAAGTGAGAAATAAAACGCTGCACTTTTGCAGTATAAGAAATGCAACTCATTTCCTACTTTTTAATATAGCCTATAGGAACCAGGTCTCACAGCACGTGTATCACTGCAAGCTGGAAGCCACCTTTATACACAGCCCTTTCTTCAGCTCATATTCAAGCGTTCATACAACCCTGACTTCAAGCATTGAAGCAGAACCCTCGGAATGGCAGATTCACAAATCTGCACCAAACGCCGGGGGGGAAGGAAAAGCCCTCAACGTGTCAACTGCAGTGACACGATGGCAATTACGCTGTGACTGAGGACAGCTTCCCCAGCAGCAGTTGGGACACGGAGCTCCTCCACTCCTTCCCAACAGGTCAGAAACGGACAGAAACATTCATTCCTTCCACTCAAATCACAGCACGGCTCTCGGAGGAAAATCCGTCCGACAAAACACGGCTACCGCATTGAAACGCACCGCTCAGCGCCGCCTGCGAGCTTCGTGCCCGGCTTTGTCTGAGCTGGCAGAGTTCAGAAAAGGCCCCAATCATTTCTCGGTGCTGCGATGGGGATGGGAAGGCTTTGTGCCGAGCACTTACCGGGTTCGGACCCGTTCCTCGCCGCCGTTCCCCATGGATCCCCTCCGTGCGCTGCAGCCAGCGCCCAGCTATTCCCACGCGGGTGGGCTGCGCGCTCTCGCTGCTAAAACTTCGCCGTTCATCATTAAAATCCGGAGCGCCCGGCAGCTCTCAGCCTCCCTTTGTTCGGAGAGGAAACAGAACTGCTGGGGGCTGCGGTCATCGCGTCTCGGGAAGAACGGGCCCGACGTCTGCGCGGGGGTCTGCGGGCAGCGGGAGCTCTTGGGGGTCTCTATAGGAAAAGCTTTCCATTGGGCAGGGCCGCGGTATAGCAGGCACAGCCCGCCCCGCCCCGCGCCCCCCTCGGGCTGCCCCTCGCTGAGCATCGCCCGGTGGAGGGGGGGGGGGGGGACCGGCACAGCCCGCAGGGCCCCGCGCCGGGGGGGACGCGCCTCGGAGAGCGGCTTCACCTCCTCGGTGCTTCCGATGAAGAGGGGGTGGTGGGAGCGGGGAAAGCAGCGGGAAGCTGCGAGGCAGCCCCAGGCGGAAAGGAAAAAATCTTTCCAAAGGGATTTAGGAAGCCTTGTTGTTTTTGGTCGGGGAAAACTTCTCAAAGAGGTTGCCCGGAGCCCTCCGGAATGTGGTTCCCCAGCAGATTGCTCTCAGAGCCCCAGGTTCTGGCTGGAAAACCTGTAGGCTCTCAAAAACACGGGGACACAGCTACAAGCGCTGCTTTCTGCAGGGAAAGCACCGCTTTCTCGTCGTTCAGCTCTCCCCGGAGCTGCCTTTCAGCAGAACCACTGCCTAAGGCTGTGCTTTATCTCTTACCTTCACTATCAGCCCTCCAGCCAGGACCGGGGATCTCCAGGCAGCAGCAGTGCAGCAGATGGCTGATTTGTCTCGGCCTGTTTGTGCTGCGGAGCAGCCAGTGCCCTTTTATTTCTCTTTCAGCCCTCTCCAGTTCCATAGGGTTGAAATCCTGAGGGCGAGTTTAAAGCCCAGCCTCCCATCTAGCGCGTCCCGCTCGCATTGTGTTTGTCTGTCCTTTTCCTCCGCTCTTCTTGGCCGTTCCCACAGGCAGCCAAGGCCAGTAAACAGCTCATTGTGAGGCTGGAACTAATGTTATTCCTCGGGCTGGTGGCTGATGCAGCGGGCTCTGTCTCGCTTCTGCAGCACGCCCAGCTGCCACGGGCTTTTATCCAGGCGACTCAAATAACTTCCTGAATATCTCATGTAACAGCCTCCCTGCAGCCTGCAAACCTCCGAGGTCCTCCGAGGGGTCACGGTGCTGCAGAGACCGTAAAAGGCGAGCGTGGATTTCAGCTGAAAACGCTGGAGGTGCAGATGTTTCCTACCCCTCGTGGTCAAAGGGGCATTTTTCCTCCATTTTTCCTCCATTTTTCCTTCATTTTTCCTTCTTTTTTTTTTTTTTTTTTGGATGAGATGAGAGATGATCTGGGTATATTGCAAAGGGAGGCCGAAGGCGTCAGCCATCGCTGTGCGTCAATGAGAATGTAAGGGTGGATGTAGGGGCTGGGGGGGTTGGGGTGCAGAGCCCACCAGAGTGAGCAGGCTGTATGCTGGGCTGGCAGCCGGGGGCCCCTTGGAGGAGCAGGCTGGGCTGTGCCTTTCCCTTCTGATTCGAGTATTGCCAACTTTCCCCCATCCTTCCTAAAACTAATGGCAACTTGTGAGCAGCAGTCAGCTTTGGCCTTTTATGGCTTGTGGGCATTTTCCTGCTTTCAGGGCAAGCCTGATTGCTCGGGTATAATGCAGCAGTTTTGCAGCCCCTGGAACCCATTCTTATGTGGGTGTGAGTGCTCTCAGTGGGGACTGCTTAAACAACACGTCTGCGTTTGAAATCCCTCTGTTTAGGGGAAGAAGTGTGGCTTGGATGGTTTGAGGCTGGGTGTGCTGCGCCGTGATGCAGAATGAGCACATTGAAACCCTTTGTGGATTGAGGGACCAGTCCTGGGCAGAGCCATTAGGCTTGCTGTAGTTCTGCAGAAGCTGAAAGAGTGCCAGAATACCCTCGGATAAACACAGGATAAACCATGAAACAAAACCTTTGTGCTTCATGCAGTATTTGGCCAAAACGTGGCCATTGTGCCAACAGTGGATGCTGGTGGAATTGAAGCGAGTTGAACTGTACCTGTCCAGGGTGTTTGCTTTCTCTCTAGGGGTACTGGTTTAATTAAACACACCTAACAAAAGTCTTCAGCTATTGTGAACTTCAAGGGCTCTCAGGGGCTCCTCCTGATAACGTACCTCTCACTCAACAGGAGATTGGGGTGGGTATTTCTGTCCTTCATGGCGATCGTCCTTCTGCCCGCTGCAGTGATTCCAACCCACTCCACCCAGGGTTGCCATTGGATTTCACAGCATCTTTAACCAGCAGGTGCTCCAGTCACCTCCCTTTTGCTTGCTTTTGTGGATTTGGGGTTTCTTTCATGAAAAAGGAGCACCTTTTTCTGCCAGCTGCAGCCCAAACGAGGAGCCAGGCAGTTGTGCCTGTAGGCTGACCCACAGTGTTCCTCTTCAGCCTCAAAAGATCATTAAAAATAACGATACTAAAAATTCCCTTCTGGAATGTGAAGAGAAAAATAATGTCTCCAGAGCCATGCATTCCTGCCCCCATCCCCATCACAGAGCAATGCACGCCTTCAGCCTCTCTGCCACACCAGAGCAAACAGACCAAACGCTGTGCTGTGCGTGTAATCTGGATGTATCTTTTAAAATGAATCAAGCACAAACACTCCCAACCAAGTGCCCTCACTCAGCATAGGTCTATTTGCCAAACATGAAGGACGGAGGTGGCTGCCTCTCTGCTTGGTTAAAGTTACAGGGAAGTGTTTTTCTTTAACGTGGAAAAACAATGAGCAGACTGCATGGCTCTTCATCTCCCTTCTCCACACTGCTCCACTGTTGTCTCCACCCTGGTCCCAGGGCGTTGGGCTCAGGCTGGGGATAGGGCGAGCTCTCCTTACAGCATTGGCAGCACACCAATAATCCCCAGTTATTTTGGAAAACAAGGCAGACAGGACTGTTATCTTGTTGGAAACTGTGGCTGCTGAGCTGGCATAGCATCTTGAAGCTGAAGTTTTGCCCCGTGTTTGCACTCCTCTGACTTTCTGCTTGTGCACAGCTGGTATTTTGCTTTCTCTCATGCTTCTGGTTCTGTTGTGTCAGTAGTCCATGGCTGTGGCATACGTTTCTATTGGTATGAGCCAGAAAGGAATATCTGAACTTTGGGAATAAATGAGCCCTGGTGAGCAGCATATTGCATTTCTGGCTGACTGATTCCTATCTCTTATGCTGTTGGACACACTGACCATTTTCAGTCAATGGTGCTTTAATGTGCCAAGACTTCTGCTGCAGGGCACTTCTGAGCTCTCAGAAGGAGCCAGAGAGCAGAAAGCAAAGACAAACATCAGATCTTGGGTGGTTGGACTAGATGATCTTGCAGGTCGTTTCCAACCTTGTGATTCTGTGATTCTGTGATCTGGAGGTTGGTACCTGGGGGAGAGAGCTTGGTGATCCTCGAGGTCCCTTCTAACCCAGGCCATTTTATGATTCTGTGATTTAAAGGCCACTAGAATGTAAACTAGATATGAACATTTGCTTTTCCTCTTCCTCCTCTGCTCTTTGGCAGGATGTTTCCTTTCTCTGCTGTCTCTCCATCTCAGATGTTGTCACTTGGATGCCGAATGCTGCATGGCGTTGGTCTGTTGGGGTACAACAGTGTGCAGCAGTGGTGTGTGGCACGGGGAGCCCCCATGCTGCAGGGGGGGTCTGTGGCCAGCCTGCTGTTACCTGCAGTGCTCAGAATGAACCCTCCATGAGATGCTTCACCACACCGGGGGATCCTGCTTGGGGAAATGCAGAATCAACAACCCTCTGCTGCCAAAATATCTGCCCTTTGAGCTTTCAGAATCTGATGGGTCAAAACACATTGCCCGCAGGCAGCACATCCCTGTGATGTACCATTTGCTCAGGCCGTGAGGCTTACAGCTTCCTACCATCTCACCCTTCTGAAGCAGCAGCCTGAGGACAGCAGCTCCTGCAGAATGATGTCAGTGCTGGGGTGACCCCAAAGGAAACATCTGGATGACTGAGAAAGAGAAAAAGGTTCAACCCCATTCAAACAGAGAATTTCATTCAGATGGTCCCCAGGAAAGGAAAGGAAAGGAAAAAATTATTAATACTGATATTTACACGGGGGGGAAAAAAGTCACTTTGCAGAAACCACAGCCTCTGCTGAAGGAAAATTCCTGAGCACATCTAACAGAGCCATCAGCAGCTCACTAATGCTGCAGTGTTCACTAATGCTTAATAGTTTGTCAGCGTTTCCATTCGAAATCCTTTCTGAAGAGCTTCATGAGAAGGCTATAAAAATCAAATGGAAGCGCAAAGCCTCATCCTGTTTGTGTATTTGCTTTTAAATACGCTTTTGGAAGGACATGGAAAACCATTTTCAATGCTGCAGGCAGATGAGAAAAAAAGCAAGTGCTCATTGGGATGGGTTTCCTTGCAGTCTGAAGGCTTTGTCTCTGAGCTGTGTCCTGCTAATGCGCTGCTGCTCGGAGCTCAGCACCTCTCCCATCCAGCAAGGCTTTGCTAACAAGCATCAGGATGATTCTATCCAATTGTTTGCTCAAATCAGAGCCGTCCAGGAGCAGGTGCTGCTGGTGGCAGAGCAGTGCTGGAGCATCCAGAGATCCCTCTGCCTGGAGCTGGCAGCCTTCTCAGCCCCCAAGCCTCAGGTTTGCTCCCATCCAAAGGAGTGTCAGATTAACTGATTAATCTGTGATTTATTTCTCTCATTCTCAGAGCTATCAAAGCGCAGCTGTTTTCATTCATGAGCCCTGAGGGCCTGCCTTTATTAAGTGCAATTAACTTGAAGTGAAGGCATTAGAACACGAGCTGCTGAAAAGTGTTTCATTGGGTAAAAAAGTGAAACGGAATCCACAGAGAAGGAAAGTAAACCAAAATCCATAATGTTGGCTGGGTCACACAGAGACCTCTGGCAGCACCATTTCCCCGAGCCTGCATGTCTCCCCAAACCAGACATCTTCCCCATAACCCTTTGTTTTCCTTCTCATTGGCATCCCCACTAAGCCAGGAGAGTACAGCTCTTTTGGGTGGTATCTTCCTCTTTGCTCTCTGTGTTTCCCAGTAGCTCAATGGGGCTCTTCCAAGTGTGTCCCAGCAGCTTCAGAGCCTTTCATTTTTCTTGTCAATGCACTCATTTTGCAAACTCATTACTCATTTTTCCCCGTTGCACAAAGCAGTTTCCAGTTGCGTGTGACCAACCGTCGTGCATGAAATCTCCCTCCAGGAGCTGCATCCAGCAGAGGTTTGGCACATGAGAGCTGCTCCAGGTGGGAGAGAAACACCCAGGGAGCCCCTCCTGCAGGCTGAGCTCGGGCACAGATTCCGTCCTGCTGCAGTGTGGGGTCTGGATGATTCTCTTTGCACAGTTCAGGGAACTGGCTGTCAGCTCTGCATGCTGTGACTCCAACAAACGGATACGCTGCTGTTTGGATGAGGCGCACCAGCAATGCCAAAATCTTATCCCCTGTGCCACAGGGACACGAGGAGCTGGCGATAAAACCTCAGTTTGGATGGAGCTGGGAGGACCTCAAACAATCGAAGGCACAGCCGGGCAGGAGCTCACCATTCTGCAGCCGTGAATAGAAGGAAGAAGCTGAATGTCAGGAAGTGTGCTGTAACAATGCATGCTGTGAGGCTGCACCGAGGCTCCCGAGGGATGCACCGGGCTGCAGGACGGATGCTGGGCGAAACCATCACGTGCATACGGACAGCAATCCTTCAGCACTGCAGCACGGTTTGCAATAGGCAGGGAGCGGAGCGCTGCTATTGCTAGCAACGTCCTCACACGGTGCTTTTTGATGCAGGGCTTTGTACGGGTTGTTCCATACGGGGAGGCTGCGGATTGCCGTGCTGCACAGGCTGTCGACCCCGAGAGGAAGCCTTCTCTGCGCATTTCCTTAAGGAGTTTCTATCAATCCCGGTCCTGCTCCCTCTAGAGGGCGGCTGCTGCCCTCGTAATCCCGTGGCACAGTGATCTCCCGTCGCATCTTTGGGATCCCACTCTGTGCGCAGTGGTACTTCGGTGCTACGGGACTTTGGTGCTACGGGACAATTTGGGCTGTGCTGCAAAGGGGG